GGTACAGCCCAAAGAGGGCAGACCTACCCAGAAATAGGAATTGTCCACACTAATGATTGGCAGGTCACCCTGAATGAGGAAAGGTTCCCTGTTAATCATTCAGGCTAGCCCACTGAGGGCAGACAACTGTTTCTGTGCTTTCTGTAGAACCTTGTACCCTGAGCATAGCAAGTGCATGTCTAGTGACCCGGTCGCATTTTTTCCCCAGGAAAGTCAGGATGGTTTAATCCACTCTCTTTTAGTTGGCCCAAAAGAGTGGTTTCTTTGCATTAGCTAATTTCTTGCACGTTATTAAGATTGTGCCTGACTAAAATTAAAATTAGCTATAGATTGCAATGTTTCTTTCTTTTATTTTTCTTGCTAGTTTTTATTTTTTAATTTACATGCCTTGCCTCCCAATCCAGGCATAGGATGTATTTTACATTAACCCTGCAATGTTGTGAATACAGCACCACAGAACGAATGCCAAAGTGCACATGCATTAGTTGCCCAGGCATTTATGAGCACACCGAAGACATCATGGATTGCCATGAACAGTATGTTTACTAAAGCAGAAAGCAATAATCAGACACATAATGAGGAAACAAGGTGTCACTTCCAGGGAAATTACAGTTCTACTTGAAAACGAAAGTTTTAGAGTCAATTTTTTTTAAAAGCTTAAAATTATATACACACATACGCTAGCCAAAAAGGTAAATAATGCATAAATAATAATAATACAAATATGATGCTGAGAAAAACTATTAAAGCTACACAGCCTCTTTAGTAGTTATGGTGCCAGGAATCCCCTAGTGCTGCAAACAGGCTTCCAAGCATTTTTAGACGTCTTTAATTATAGTGCTGATAAATGTGAGTGGTTATTAACCAGCAACATAATACACCAATCATTGTGGTGTGCCAGTTACATAATTTTGGAGTGGTATATAACTTTTTAGACCATGCTAGTATCTTTGATGTTTGAATTCTTGCATTTTCCATATTTTTAAAGCTAACTGCTAAACCCCTTAAGGACCAAACTTCTGGAATAAAATGGAATCATGACATGTCACACATGTCGTGTGTCCTTAAGGGGTTAAAGGACCACTAAAGTCACCCAGATCACTTCATCTCAAAGTGGTCTGGATGCAGCAGCTCTGTATTTTTTACTTTGCAATGGAAAACATTGCAGTTTTTTAGTAACTACAATGTTTACATTACAAAGCTAAACACATAATTAGTGGCTATCTCCCAGACAGCTACTAGAATCGCTTCCTTAGCAACGACCGAGTTTCACTCGCCCTTGTGATATTCGTTGAACATTATCAAAGCACTGGAGAAGCACATGGAGAAGCACTAGAATCAGTGCTTCACTGTAAGAAAGGTATGATTGGATGTGCGTGGCACTTATTATGCATGCATATCTCACCCCCAATGCCTTTCTATGAGGAGCATTGGATTGGATAGTTATCAAGGAAAAAACAAGAATTGTAATGAAGCAGAGTGGGTGGCAGCACCGAGTGAGTTTCAGTGCTGTAAAAAAAGGTGAGTAAAACCTATGCTTTATTTTTACCGGTTAATAGGGGGTGCCCTGAATCTAAATTGGGACCTTATAGTGTTACATATTTTTTGTATTTCTAACATTATTGTGTCTCCTTAATGAGTAAACTCAATTTTCTGTGAAAATAAGTTTAGAATAGCAGTAAGACAAAGACAGACCATGTGCCTCTCTTTTCAAGTATTACAAGGTCTCCTTGTCCTTTTCATCTTGACAGGACCAAAAGCAAATGATAATAGACAAATCATTCATCTTGCGCAAACAGAAAAAAAAGAGACAAATCCAATCTAGAACATTCAGTGAACATGTAAATCTGACATTTCTGGGAGGCAAATGAAAACCTGCTGAGCTGAATTACTTGTGTTGTTCACTGCTCTACTTGTGTTGCTCTGGAGGGCCATCCAAATTTGACCGTAGGAATGACCCAGTCATTTCTTCCACAGGCAATTTATTAAAATAGTGTAATGACATTTTTACACTGGAAGAGAAAGATTATATATACACATGAATCATGTATGCATTACATGAACTGCTCATTATTACAACAGGCATATTATGTTTTTAAACCCCATCCAGCATGGTATGCAGTCATTTTTTGAAGACATGTTTTGACAGGACAGCCTGATATTAGTGGGAGTAGTGTTATTTAAATAATCAATTTAAAAGTCTACAATGTGCTTTGTATCTATTTAACTTTTCTTCTTAATATTACATTACAGAAAGTGGCTACAATGAGTGATCATACTTGTTTCTCTTTCTTTCCCTACACATTGCTTACCACTTATCCAGAAGTGAGATTGCATTCTTCTTACAGCTCCAATCCATCCCTGCAAATCATCACGAGTGATAATTTCCCAGGCCATACCAAATGTTTCCATATAAAAGCATTGTGGTCCTTGGTTTCATAGAAGCATTAAAACTAAGGCTTCTGTACCAGGGCTTTGACAAGGGAAGGCTAGAGGAGGCTCAAACCCAAATGTGGGGCACCATAGCCTTAGATCTTTTTTCCATATATGCTGTGCTCTCTCTGCCCACTCCCGGTCTCCTTGGTGAGTCTAGGATTTAGACAGGAGTGGAAGTAGTTCTATAATATAGACACACAGTGTCATATTGTCATGTCCTCTGCCCCTTTCTTTGCATGCAAGTACTGTGTGTGTTTTATTGTTTCTTTAGTCATGCATATCTAGGCAGTTAGGACGCACCGTAATTGAAGTACTTTGGCGCAGTGGTGGGCTGCATACATCTTGGCCATTTATGTATGTCTAAATCTCCAATGTTTTACATATATAGTACTTAGTTATGTCTCCTCTTGTTTTGCCTTGTATCTCTTGTCTTGTTTTAGTTTGTATTCCCATTTCATGTACAGTCCTGTTCTGTGCTGCCCATGTTTTGTTAATGTTTCCCTTATGTATTGTGTACATGTTCTGGGATCTGTTTCTGTCCTTCTCCTGTTCTGGGTTCTTCTAGTTTTGTCTTATTTTCTTGTTTTGTGCCTATTCTAGTCTGACCTTGTTTCTAGTACTGGATACATCTCAGCTTTTCATCTAGCTCATGGCATCCGCTTAAGCTGCACAAGGGTTCTGGTTTGTGGCCACACAAATGCTGGTGCTCAACACCAGGGGGCGTGTGGTTAACCTGCACCAGGCCCTGATTGTCCACTTCCACGCTGAAACTCCTATCATCTACATAAGGCACACAGGGGTCCCGGTCTTCGCACAGCCACCCTGACACATATTCCTTATGTGTCTTTATCACTGTGCTACTTCTGCTCACAGTTGTACCTCATTGAGCAGACAGGGTGCAGTGGGTAGGCACAGGGCCGTCTTTAACAAGGGGCAAACGGGGCAGCTGCCCCGGGCCCAGTTGCTCCTGGGGGGCCCAAAGCAGCTGTCCCGTGGGCCCCCTGCCCGCAGCCAGGACTGAACAGCCCACCGGGATACTGAGAAATATCCCAGTGGGCTGTGGCAAGTGAAGTAATCAGTGAGCACCCAACCGGGCCCCTGTCTGTATGCCTGCTGGGAGGAAGTGAGGTGAGATCACTTCCTCCCAAGTAACAGAGTGCCGCTGGGGAGGAGGAGACACACATGGAAGTGGAGGAGAGGGAGGATGCACACACAGGAGGAGGAGGTGAAGGAGAGGGACTGAGGTAAACATGACTCCCATCAACCTCAGCCATCCAGCTTCCACTGGACCCCAGGGAAGCCATCCTTCTCTAAAGGTAAGGAGACAAGAGGGTGGCTAGACTTAAATTGATATAAATGTGTGTATATCTGACTGTATGTGTATATCTGACTATGTATGTGTGTATCTGACTATGTGTGTGTGTATCTGAGTATGTATGTGTATATCTGACTGTATGTGTGTGTATCTGACTGTGTGTGTGTGTGTATCTGACTATGTATGTGTGTATCTGACTGTATGTGTATATCTGACTGTATGTGTGTATCTGACTCTATGTGTGTATCTGACTATGTATGTGTGTATCTGACTGTATGTGTGTATCTGACTATGTGTGTATATCTGACTGTATGTGTGTATCTGACTATGTATGTGTATATCTGACTGTATGTGTGTATGTGTGTATCTGACTGTATGTGTGTATCTGACTATGTATGTGTGTATCTGACTATGTGTGTGTGTATCTGACTATGTGTGTGTATCTGACTGTGTGTGTATATCTGACTATGTGTGTATATCTGATGTGTGTGTATCTGACTATGTGTGTGTATCTGACTATGTGTGTATCTGACTGTGTGTGTATCTGACTGTGTGTGTGTATCTGACTATGTGTGTGTGTATATCTGTGTGTGTGTGTATCTGACTGTGTGTGTGTATCTGACTATGTGTGTATCTGTATGTATGTGTATGTGTATCTGACTATGTGTGTATCTGTGTGTATCTGACTATGTGTGTGTACTGTATGTGTGTGTATATCTGACTGTATGTGTGTATATCTGTATGTGTGTATCTGACTGTATGTGTGTATCTGACTATATCTGACTGTATCTGATGTATATCTGTATGTGTGTATCTGACTATGTGTGTATATCTGACTATGTATGTGTGTATGACTATGTATGTGTATCTGACTATGTGTGTGTATCTGACTATGTGTGTGATCTATGTGTGTATCTGATGTATATCTGACTATGTGTGTATGTGTGTATCTGACTGTGTGTATCTGAATGTGTGTGTATCTGACTATATCTGACTATGTGTGTGTATGTGTGTATCTGACTGTGTGTGTATCTGATCTGTGTGTGTATCTGACTGTGTGTGTATCTGACTGTGTGTATCTGACTCATGTGTGTGTATCTGACTGTGTGTGTATCTGACTGTGTGTGTGTATCTGACTGTGTGTGTGTATCTGACTATGTGTGTGTATCTGAGTATGTGTGTGTATCTGACTATGTGTGTGTATCTGACTGTATGTGTGTATCTGACTGTATGTGTGTATCTGACTATGTGTGTGTATCTGACTATGTGTGTGTATCTGACTATGTGTGTGTGTATCTGACTATGTGTGTATCTGACTGTGTGTGTGTGTATCTGACTGTGTGTGTGTATCTGACTGTGTGTGTGTGTATCTGACTATGTGTGTGTATCTGACTGTGTGTGTGTATATCTGACTGTGTGTGTGTATCTGACTGTGTGTGTATATCTGACTATGTGTGTGTATCTGACTATGTGTGTGTATCTGACTGTGTGTGTGTATCTGACTATGTGTGTGTATCTGACTATGTCTGTGTGTGTATCTGACTGTGTGTGTGTGTATCTGACTGTGTGTGTGTGTATCTGACTTTATGCGTGTGTATCTGTATGTGTGTGCGTTTGTATCTGGCTGTATGTGTGTATCTGGCTGTGTGAGTGTCAGTGTGTGTGTATCTGGCTGTGTTTGTGTCAGTGTATGTGTACCTTTGTGTCAGTGTTTATGTGTATCTATGTGGATGTATACCTGTGTCCGTGTACTTGTGTGTCAGTTTGTATGTGTACCTGCGTGTCTGTGTATGTATATGAGTGTCAGGTTGTGTAAGTGTGTATCTATGCGTGTGGCAATGCATACGTTCCATCATTCCAGTACCAACACTGCACACATATACACTACTACATTCCAACGCTAACACTGCACACAAATACACCACTGCATGTGTATCTGTGTTCCTGTGTGTATCTCAGTGTTTGTGTAAGTGTGCATCTGTGTGGCAATGCATACATCCCAGCATTCCTTTGCCAACACTGCACACAAATACACCCCTGCATGTGTACCCGTGTGTCTGTGTGCATCTTAATGTGTGTCTATATCTGTGTCAGTGTGTGTAAGTGTGTATCTCTGTGTGTGGATGTGCCAGTGTTTTTATCTTTGTATCTGTGTGTGTGTGTGTATGTATGTATGTGTCTGTGTGTGTATACGCCAGTCTGTTTGTATCAGTCTGTGCATGTGTCCAGATGTGTGCATGTATCAGTGTGCTAATGTGTATGGATATCTGTGAATGTATGTCATACATCCAAGCAATCAAACACAACATGCAAACACACCACTGCAAACACAAACATTACATACAAACACGCCCCTGAATTCAAACTCAAAAAGTATATAGAAACACACCCCTTCACTCTAACACCAATACTACACCGTACATGCACACACATACTCTATACAACAACATGCTCACATTCAAATTTACAAACACTGCTCACAAATACAGCCCTGCAAGAATGACCAAATGGTAGATCCCCAACTGGTATAGCATCGTGGGAATTGTACAACAGATGAGGATCTATCTTTTCTCCATTATTGTGCTAGATGGGAGGCCCCAAAAAATGTCTTGCACCTGGGCCTTCTCTACATTAGTTATGCCACTGTATTGGGGTGGAGGGCATGACTGCATGCCAGGGGGTGGAAATGTGTGGAGGGGAAGGGCAGGATCCAGGGGGCCCAAGCAAATGCTTGCCCAGGGTCCAATCAATGTTAAAGACAGCCCTGGGTAGGCAGCATCCTGGCAAAAGAGCAAACGGGGAGTGGGAAACCACAAAGTGCAGGGCTGGTGCCATGCTTTCCCTACAGGGGGCATGCTGAAACAGTGACTAGCCAGGCAATGTACCACTGTCAAGGTACAGATACATTGTTTTTTAATTGTGTTTATGTATAACTGTGTATGCTTGTCTGTGTTTGCGATTGCCTGTTGGTACCTGTTGGTGCCTGTGTATGCCTGTCTATGTATGTGTGTGTCAGTGCCTTTCTGTGCTATACTGGAAGCTGACTTGGAGATTATATCCAGTTAGGCTATTTTACACACTTACATTTGAAATTCACTTAGAATTCAATTTGAAACAAAGACAAATCTCACTTTAGAGAATAAATCCTGTATGTTAAATATTTTTAAATGTCTTAAATGTTTAAAAGCATAACACACATATCATTATATCATCAGTGCATATCTATGAATTTACTATATCTAGTTAAAGGTAGATAAATGTATGCAGCCAACCCATCTCAAATAGCTACTACCCAGTTCTGTAGAATCCCGATTGGCGTGGTTAAATTTTGATGTTTCTAGGTGTTAAAGTCGTGACTTAAATATGAATATTAATAATTAATATATAATAATTAAGCAACAAATAACAACATTAATATTTTGTAGAGTTCGGTATTATGGTCGAATATATAATAGGAAATACACAAAACATTGTAGTATTAAATGTATATTTAATATAATTATAATAACAATTAAACAAATGCTAGCAGAATGTCAATTTACCACAATAATTACACAATACAAAACTACAACATATTACTTACAAAAGGCTATAACAGTTTCTAGCTGTTATAATAGATTACCTACACAGCTCCAGCCTGTTTGGCTGGAGCTATACAGTCAGCTACATGTTCAATCAATGCAAGCCAAGGAAAAAGGAGGCTGAATTCCTCCTACTATTTGGTTTTATCCAGTAAGTAGGCTGGCCTGTGATGTCACTGCCAGAAGCACATGAGTTAGCACACTGACCCCTAGTGGTGCCTCTAAAGCATTAAGCTCATTATGCTTTACTGACATCTAGTGGTGCGTGTAAAGCATTAAGCTCATTATGCTTTTTTATGACAAAAAGTCATTAATTAATAAATACCATTACACTAGGTTAAAACATCCGTTATCTTAATGTCTTCAAAATTCAAACACTTCAAATACTAAACATTCACTGGAGGTTTGGAATTTATGGGCAAACAAAAAAACCAAAACATAATCGACCATGCAACTCCTCTGTGTTTTGCATGTTTTATCTACTTTTCATTATATTTGCTAGATTTGAACTTTTGTTATATAACTTATATAATTTTCAAATGAATATAAACTGATCTCTTGCTCTTTGCCCATTGGGGCAAGAAAAGAGCTGATTGGTTGGAAAAAAAGATAATTAATGGTTAGTGGATAGCCACTAAATGTTGATTTTATTCACAGATTAAATGAGAAGTGACCTATAATATAAATATTATGGACATAATGTAGTCTAAATAATTAATGTTTGATCACTGTGTATTAACTGGAGAGAAGGAAATACCTCTCAAAGTGATACAATTATGATGGTTTATCACTTATGTTAGAATTGAGCCTTTATTAAGTAAGAACTCAAATCTTCAAATTAATCATATTCAATTACACAAGAAAATAATTTAGAAACAAAATTTAAGATGTAAATTTATGATAATGATAGACATGAATATCTAGCTTAGTATTTAACCATATCTATAAATATTAATATCAAACAGCAGAAACAATGAGTCCACAGTTGGAAAGAACATGGTAAAATGTGTGAGTGAAGTTGAGCACTGCTATATTGAATATTAATGCTTTTTTTACATACACAGGTAAGGAAGCTTTTTTTTTTGTAATGGTCAGTTCAGCAAAAAGAAAAAAAATAGGAAATTAAAAAAGAGCACACAAAAAGACTCAACCCAAGAAATACCATTATTAAAAGGTTACACCAACCCTTTCTGGCATTTTACGTTTTAGGACTTAGAATGCGCTATTGGGCATTTCTAAAAGGTGCCCCCACCATAATACAAAATAAAAAATAATAATAATTTTATTTTTGCGATCTCCATTTGATGACCGCAAGGGCCTCATGTGGTCCAATCGCATGCTTCTCATTGGTTCAAAAGTAGAAGGGAGTGGAATTGTGGCAAAGAGACAGGCTTATTGTGCAGAATTGTGTAGAATAATTGACACTATAATGATTTGAACATTCAGAAGATACAATATGTTAATGAGGCCAAATTCAATCATTTGTGTCCAGATTAGCCCTTCAAGCAGATATCTGATATTTAGCATAGTTTCATATTGTGTAGATTTTAATCTAGATTTACTGTCTTACTTTTTATGTAAAATGAATGAAAAAAAAGAAAATCCAACATTGCTACGAGGAAGATCTAAAACAGTGCTGTCCAACTTCTTAGTGTGGAGGACTGGGTGTCAATTGAATAATCCACAAAAATCAACTAAACTATGGATTACACCCCATCCTTATTCTTATCATTCAATTGTATATTACCTCTAATTAGTAAAATATGCCACTCTACTTTCCCTTTCCTATTTTTTTTGTTTCAACTCATGCTTTCCTTATCACTTTATAAACTTTATATTTTGTTCACCATAATTTAGCTTTTGATTCTTTCCTGCTATCTCTATACGGAGTGGTGGAATAGTTAGATATTTAATAAGTATTCTCAGGGAACCCATGATAAATCATAGGGCCCCTTACAAAGCCATTAGCTGGGGCCCACCTGAAACACACTCCCCCCAGAAAAACAGCACTAAATACACATACACAGAGTTACACACTGTCAGTCAATCACACACAATTACACATTGTCCCACATAGGGCCGGTGCAAGGACTTCTGTCTACACAGGCGAAAACACATTTTGCTTCCCCCAAAATTTGTCTTAACCTGTCTGCCTAATATTCCTACCCATTCTTTTGCCCCTTTTGTGCATATTGTCACCTTTTTCTTTCTTGTTTTCACTTGTTTTATATTAGATGCAATCTTTTCATGTTTTTGTGTCTTCATCCTAATTTTGTAGTCTCTTTACCCCCTTGAGTCACACACTCACTCACTGGCTCTTACACACACACATAGGCTCTTACACACACACATACACGCACACAGTCTCTTACACACACATTCTGCTTATATACATACACTGGCTCTTACACACGCACACTGACTCTTACATACACACACTGCCTATACACACACACGCTCTATACACACACACACACACACACTGCCTATACATACACACACACACACACACACACTGCCTATACATACACACACACACACTGAATCTTAAACACAGCTTATACACACACTGGCTCTAACACACACACCGGCTTTTACATACACTGGCTCATTCTAACACACACACACACACACACACACACTGGCTCTAACACACACACACACACTAACTCTTACACACACACTGCTTACATAGACACACATGCACACACACTGGCTCTAACACACACACTGGCTCTTACACACACACACACACACACAGTCTCTTATACACACACACACACCGCTTATACACACACTGGCTCAAACACACACACACACGCTAACTCTTAAACTGCTTATACAGATACACATGCACACACACAATGGCTCTAACACACACACACACACACACCCACACTAACTCTTACACATACACTCCTTACACAGACACACACACACACGGCTCTGACACACACATACACACTGGGTCAAACACACACACACACACTGGCTCTAACACAGACACACTAACTCTTACACACTGCTTAAACACACACACACTGGCTCTAACACACACACATACACATTCTTGCACTTTGGTGTCAAGAATGAACAAGCAACTTACACCCTAAATGGTAGTGAATTAGGGATAACCACACACGAGAAGAATTTGGGAATTGTTATATGATTAACATTATATAAATATATTCGGGGCCAGTACAAATCATTATCTGGAAAGCTATTCATAAACAGGGCTATACATAGGACACCAGGTCACGCATTTAAGGTAGGAAGAAAGAAGATTTAATCTAAGACAAAGGAAAGGTTTTTGTGTTTTTTATAAGGAATATGGAATTCTTTGCTTGAAGAGGTGGTTTTATCAGAGTTCATACAGGGATTTAATTTCTAATTAGTGGGGTAATAGCTTCTTGATACAAGGAGATATCTGACTGCCATTTTTGGGTCAAGAAGGAACACACACATACACAGTCTCTTACACACAAACACTGGCTCTAACACACACACACACTAAATCTAACACACACACACACTAACTCTTACATACACAAACTGCCTATACACACACACACACTGGCTCTAATTGTTAAACAGAGGTCCCCCTGGTGTTTCTGCACTGTAGTAACTTTCTTCCGCTCTTCACAGCAGTTGGCGACTGGGATATGATTTCACATATCCCAGCGGCCTTTAGCTAATGAATAGATTGGCCATGACGCTCTTCGCTGCTCCGCCCCCCTCCCTCATTGGCTGCATGTTTTTTCCCCATCACACAGACAGCCAGCTCGGTAAATTTCTACCATGGGCATTGCTGCAGAGAGTGACTGGCGTGAGCGAAGTTCTCCGTGCTCCCGACAGTCGCTTGGACACCTTGCTGGCGCAGTATGTCTTTTTGCTGATGATACAAAGATTTGAAACCGGGTTGATGTTCCAGAATGGCCAAATGGCAAATGATTTAGGTAAACTAGAAAACAGTAAAAGTTAAAATTGACATTTAATGTGGATAAGTGCAAGATAATGCATCTTAGGCGTAAAAACCCAAGGGCAGAGTGTATATTTAGGGGTGATTATTTCAGATGACCTAAAGTTAGGCAGACAATGCAATAGAGCAGCGTGAAATTGAAGCTTAGTTGTGTAGGGACTTGGGAGTGGTATTAGCAGTAGAAAGAGGGAAGTTCTCATTAAGTACAGAGCACTGGTAAGACCTCACTTGGAGTATTGTAGGCAGTACTGGAGACCGTATCTCAAGAAGGATATTAATACTTTGGAGAGAGCTCAGAGAAGGGCTATAAAACCGGTTAATACATTTCAGGGTAAAACAAAGAAAGGTTAAACGATTTCAAAATGAATAGCTTGGACAAAAGATGAGACATGGGGGATATGATAGAACCATTTAAATACATAAAGGGAATCATCACAGTAAAGGAGGAGAGTATATGCAAAAGAAGAAAAACTATCACAGCAAGAGGGCATAGTCTTAAATTAGAGGGGCAATGGTTTAAAAATAATATCAGGAAGTATTACTTTACAGAGAGTGTATAAGATGCATGGAATAGCCTTCCAGCTGATGTTGTAGAGGTTAACACAGTGAGGCAGTTTAAGCATGCGTGGGATAGGCATTAGGTTATCTTAGATATAAGATGCCAGGGACGTATGAAAGTTTGTAGACAATTTAGAAAAGCAGACCAGATGGGCCGAAGGTTTCTTACCTGCCGTCACATTCAATGTTTTTTGTTTCTATGTAACATGGATACTTGACAAGGAATTGAAAATGCAAAATAACTGAGCTGAAAAATTATCTGGATACTAGAGCATTTTCAATTCAGCTATTGTGGTCTACAACGTGCAATCCCTTTGTCAGTTTATGAATGCATTTGATTGTGCAAATGCAAGAATGTCTGTGTGAGTAGTGCAATAATGCAAATGTGTGAGTGAAGAGCTTCAAAATGTGCCATGTGTAGTGGAGTGTCTGTGCATGTTAATGCAGGAATGCATTTGTTTAAATGCTGAGAGTCACTTTGTGCATGTGCAAATAGTGGTACATCACTATAAAGTGTATTTTTATAAACATGACTAGGGCATTTCCTTCACTTTATATCTGTCCACCCTGTTCTTTTAGTTCCCACTGGATTCTCTCTGTAACCTACTCCAAGTTTTGTTCCTTTATTCCACCCTCCACTTTTTGCGTTTCTATTCCATCCCCAATTGTATCTGTTCATCTATTCCACCTTTAATTTTGTCTCTCTCTTTACACCAAATGATCCAATTGCCCACTTATATCCAATGTCTTCACTTGTGTCACTGCATTTCTATCATTCTTCACTTGCCTTTCCTCCTATCCCACATTAACTGTCTCTTTCTACCTCTTCGCTTTCCGTTCCATCCATCTTTATCCTTGCCACAGATCCTTGCTGCTGGCTGGATGGGTGGATGGCTAGCTGGTTGAGTGGATGGCAGGCTGTCAGGCTGCTGGCTTGTCATGGTGTCTGCAGTCTGCCCATTCTAAGCAACAACCATGGAGGCTCAGTGTGTGGAGTGGTGGAGCTATGAGATCAGATCCTTTCCCACCTCTCTCCAACACTGTCCTGGCACTGGAACAAGATGGCCCCATCCTAGTGGGAATAATGATAGCCAGAGCTGTAGGGTAGGGCAGGTAATGTAAAGTACACAGTGGGGCCCAATAATAATAGTTATTATTAAATTATACTTCTCCAGTTTGAGAGATTAGCTGATCTCTCCAAGTGGCCCTCAGCTGCATTGTGAAAATGTATGTGCAGATAAAAAAATGATCTATTTTTTTGTCAGCCATAGGTCTCAGATACATGTTTGGTTTGCCATTCAGTTGGACAATACTGCTCTAAGTTATCCTGAAAACTTGGACAATATCTTTTGATACATCAATAGTTTTATCATAATAGGTCTATTTCTTATCTAGAAAGAGTTTGTTTTTCCGAAACACCGTTAGCATATTTGAAAAAGTTGAATAAAATACTGAAAAAGGTTTCTAGGATCAGTGGTAGAAATTTGATTGAGACTCACAGAAGTTTTCTATTTATGGATGAACTGTCTGGGATCATTCACTTATGTATCTTGTTATTATATGATGATTTACGTCACATATCCATTTAAAAGGGGGGAAGGTTATAATCTCTTTCAATACTAGTCATTATATTATAGCGTGAATGCTCATGCACATCTGAATCATATAAAGGGGATATAATATATATATATATATATATATATATAAAAAAAAAAAAAGTTCCAAAGATAGCACTCCAGGGACTTATAAAGAATTCACTTTTATTACCTTCAATCAAACATCCAAAGTGTCAACGTTTCAGCCCAATAACCTCAGGCTTTCATCAGGACATAATACGTGTACAAATAAACCCACATTTATACCATAACACAAATAATAACTCACCACACTTGTGACACGTCTGACTCCATGGACGCCCGGACCGGGACTGCCGCGGGCTGCCCGACGTACGTCTGCAGCCGCACGGCGTCACGCTCAATGACGCGGCCAGGGGCCGTCACTATAGCAACCTATAACAACAAATGTGATGTAACACACTAATCTAATCGTAAAAACAATGTATCCACTGTTTAACGCTACATTCTTGGGGGTTTAACAATTCAAACAGTTATACAGTATACAAAGCTAACAATTATGTTATTTAAACCATTCTTAATATACCTATTGAACTTAACAGCTGAAACAACAATCGGCAGAATTAAACCATAGCTACCAATCACTTTGAGATTTATGAAATCAGGCTTGTCAGGCTAAAGAAATAGAAGTCTATCAAATCACAAGAGAGAAGTATTGAATCCAAGGACATTAGACATAAATACATAGCTTACCTAATTATAAAGCATCACATGTGTATCACAAGACTAGCACATTGAATTATTCAATGTGCTATTCAGCACAAGCCACTTTAGAAGTTCCACCGATAAAGAAATTGGTCTTTCCGACAACATACACCACAGCATCTCCACAATTTAAGCAAACGATTGAGAAAAATTGGAGGATCTTGAGGAATGATATGTCTCTACCAGAAATATTTCGTCAACCACCCATGATGTGCTATAGGAGAAACAAAAATCTGAAGGATCTGTTAGTGAAGACGGACCCTATACATTGTTATGAGGACAAACAGGGCTTTGTCAACTTGGGCTGCTACAAGTGCTTGGGCTGTGTCACTTGTGGGCACATGCTATCTGGTAAATCGTTTACCCATCCTCATACAGGAAAGAAGTACATCATTAGGCATCGTTTAACTTGCACCACTGACTTTGTAATATACAAGCTAACCTGCCCTTGTGGACTCACGTATATTGGCAAGACGGATCTACCCCTGCGCGAACGCATTCGCAACCATAGATCTAGTATAAGGGTGGCGTATAGAGATCAGAAATCGGACTTACCTGTGGCCAAACATTTTTTGGAGAAAGGACATACGCTCCCGACTTTAAAACTCATGGCAATTGATCATATACCACCCCTTTGGAGGGGAGGCGACCGGAAGAAGTTGTTGTTACAACGAGAACTGTTTTGGATTAGAACATTGAGAACAGTATATCCAGAAGGTCTCAATGAAAAATATACCCTGTCTGCATTTTTATAAATGTTGAGTATTTGTTTTTCAGTGATGGCAATGAGATGAACTATGTGATGCCCACCCTGGGGGATAGGCATACATGTCTATATTTCTCCTGCCACTGTGTATATTCTTTTGGGGTGAGTATTGGGTGCCCACCCAGAGGGATAGGCTACCCTTTCATTAACCCATAGCAACTAGGGTAGATAGAATTTTTATGAGACAGTCTTGAATTTTTTTGATTATCTGCATTTTATTAGAGGGATGAACTCACTGGATGTATTGTATTCAATAAGGTTGTATTTATGGAGTTTATTTGTGGTATGCCCCAATATTTTTATCACTATTCCCCTATTTTCATGAGGGTCCGATTTCATTATGACCTATAGGGGGCATGGTTATTTAGTTCTGTATTTTGCCTTATGAATAATTCAATGTGCTAGTCTTGTGATACACATGTGATGCTTTATAATTAGGTAAGCTATGTATTTATTTATGTCTAATGTCCTTGGATTCAATACTTCTCTCTTGTGATTTGGATAGACTTCTATTTCTTTAGCCTGACAAGCCTGATTTCATAAATCTCAAAGTGATTGGTAGCTATGGTTTAATTCTGCCGATTGTTGTTTCAGCTGTTAAGTTCAATAGGTATATTAAGCATGGTTTAAATAACATAATTGTTAGCTTTGTATACTGTATAACTGTTTGAATTGTTAAACCCCCAAGAATGTAGCGTTAAACAGTGGATACATTGTTTTTACGATTAGATTAGTGTGTTACATCACATTTGTTGTTATAGGTTGCTATAGTGACGGCCCCTGGCCGCGTCATTGAGCGTGACGCCGTGCGGCTGCAGACGTACGTCGGGCAGCCCGCGGCAGTCCCGGTCCGGGCGTCCATGGAGTCAGACGTGTCACAAGTGTGGTGAGTTATTATTTGTGTTATGGTATAAATGTGGGTTTATTTGTACACGTATTATGTCCTGATGAAAGCCTGAGGTTATTGGGCTGAAACGTTGACACTTTGGATGTTTGATTGAAGGTAATAAAAGTGAATTCTTTATAAGTCCCTGGAGTGCTATCTTTGGAACTTTTTTTGTATTTTGGCTGACAAGCACCGGGCATTAAACCATTTAAGAAGGTGGAGTGCAAGATTTTTTCTATTTTTTATATTATTCAGCGTTACCTACAGCTGTTTTTCTATGCACCCCCAAATCAAGTAAATCTATTCAAAGAATTAAATGACTATCCACTGACCTTTGTTTGATTGTCATTGTGGAGTACGATATCCCTATTTTTATTTGTTTTGCTGGACACACTATTTAGTGTTGTTGTATCCATGGATGATTTTTTTACGCTAGCTGGTGGATGTGCTGAACAGGCAGAAATCTGGCAATACAGTGATTCTGATGCGGATAGGATTAGATGGGAAACCTCTACTTCAGATCTCCCTAATACAACTTCATTACGTGAAATATATTTTGAACTACTGAGGCTAAAAAAGAGAGAAACTGATTTGGACCTTCACGGTTTATTTTTATCCGACTATCATCGGAAATTGCAGGGGTTTCAGGATAAGCAATGTACCCACGATTGGGAGATTGAAACCAGGGGTATGCAAAAAGTGGATTTCAGTTCTGAATAAATGTTCATTAGATCTGATGTTAGTGATTATAGAAGATGTAAAGGAGGATTTGATTTCAATTAGGAGGAGAATTACTGAATTGGAAACTAGACAGGCAGTGTTGTTGGCGAGTTCGGAAGCTACATCTACGTTGTTAAAATTGGAAAACAATATAAAGAATTATAAGACGGATCTCATTAGATTTAAAAAGGACAAGCAAGAAAAAGTGACAGCAGAGTATAAGGAGCACAGAGTATATAAGTGGCTCAGTGGTACTAGTGACTTGCCCAGATTTGCAAGAAAGAGAAGATTTATCCGCAAACCTAGACATTACACCATAGATAAGACCTCAGGTAACTCCAGCTCAGAATCTGAACAGAGCAGTTGGGACAGGGAAAGAGTGACCAGCAATTCCCAAGCCCAATCTTTTTTAGAAGATTCAAACCCGGCCAATCCGGGGATACGGACCAGACATCAGAGCAAGATTACTTCATCAGAAGAAGGACAATCACGAGACGAGGACAGAAGGGACGTACCTTCTGGGGGAAGAGGGAGACCACCACGTCAGAGGAGATAATGCCCATTTTCAATTTATCCTCTCGAACTTTAACAGGGGCCGAAATCACTCTACTTAGCAAAGGCTTGTCATTTGTACCCACTGCCAAACCTAATCCATTAGATTGGGAGGTTGAACTATATAAATTTGGTAGATCATTGCGATTAAAGGATTTCTTTAAAAATAAAGCCATTCTTTCAGATGATTACAACAGCAAATTTAAGAAAACAAGTACGTTTGACCCTTTGCCAAATCAAGCCACAATAAAAAGTTTTTTAAGATCAGTACAAAAGGAAACTACGGATTATTTGAAAAGTACCCCTTCCCATCATTCTAATTGTTCTAAATTGGATTGGGAAATCATTAAGTCCTTGGCTTCGGATAGAAACATCGTTATCAGGTCAGCAGACAAAGGTGGGGGGATTGTTATCCAAGACTATGTGAAATATAGATTGGAAATAATACAACAACTATCTGATTTTCACACTTATTTAAAATTAAGCTGTGACCCTACACCTCAAGTCAAGCTCCTGATAGATGCAATTCTATTAAGGGGTCTGGAACAGAAGTTTATCGATCAGGACCTTTGGGAATTTTTACATCAATCTAACCCAAGAACCCCAGTGATCTATACACTCCCCAAGATCCACAAAAATCTTCAGGACCCTCCTGGGAGACCAATTGTGTCGGCTGTGGGGGGCATTTTAGAACCCCTGACAAAGTGGTTGGACTTCCTATTTAAGAAAACAATTGAAAGTTTACCAACGTATATTAAGGACACTCCAAGCTTCATTAGAATGATTACTACACTATCCTTACCGACTGGTCTGATAACACTAGTCACTTGTGATGTTAAGAGTTTGTATACGATCATACCCCATACAGGGGGGATTCAGGCTATGAAACGAATTCTTGTATCCTCAGACAAGTATATGGGACCTCCAATTGAATACGTCATAGAAATTTTGGAACTGGTGTTGACACAAAATTATTTTCGGTTTGAACTTGAGTGGTACAGACAGTCAGCAGGTACATCTATGGGTGCGGCTATGGCCCCGATGTATGCAAATGGATACATGTTTGAATTTGAAACCCAACATATATTGGAACCATTTAAAGATATCATTTTATCATACGGTCGTTATATCGACGATATCTTTATGATCATCAAGGGAGACAACAGTACTGCAGAATCCATGATCCAATATATTAATTCATGCACACTGAATGTACAGTTAACCACGACAATGGATCCTCTTACAGTGGATTTCCTAGATGTACGGATCATACGAGAAGGCAACAAGTTGGCATACACGCTTTTTACAAAATCAACTGACCGCAATACCTTACTTCAAGCTAATAGTTTTCATCCCAATGCTCTCAAACAATCTCTACCATATTCTCAATTCCTTGGGGTCATGAGAAATAACTCAGACCCGGACAAGGCAGAGGAACAATTGGGTCTTATGTGGGAAAAGTTCCAACAACGTGGCTACAGTGATTGTGTGCTACGCAAAGCGCTTGACAAGTGCTATTCAGCACAAGCCACTTTAGAAGTTCCACCGATAAAGAAATTGGTCTTTCCGACAACATACACCACAGCATCTCCACAATTTAAGCAAATGATTGAGAAAAATTGGAGGATCTTGAGGAATGATATGTCTCTACCAGAAATATTTCGTCAACCACCCATGATGTGCTATAGGAGAAACAAAAATCTGAAGGATCTGTTAGTGAAGACGGACCCTATACATTGTTATGAGGACAAACAGGGCTTTGTCAACTTGGGCTGCTACAAGTGCTTGGGCTGTGTCACTTGTGGGCACATGCTATCTGGTAAATCGTTTACCCATCCTCATACAGGACGAAGTACATCATTAGGCATCGTTTAACTTGCACCACTGACTTTGTAATATACAAGCTAACCTGCCCTTGTGGACTCACGTATATTGGCAAGACGAATCTACCCCTGCGCGAACGCATTCGCAACCATAGATCTAGTATAAGGGTGGCGTATAGAGATCAGAAATCGGACTTACCTGTGGCCAAACATTTTTTGGAGAAAGGACATACGCTCCCGACTTTAAAACTCATGGCAATTGATCATATACCACCCCTTTGGAGGGGAGGCGACCGGAAGAAGTTGTTGTTACAACGAGAACTGTTTTGGATTAGAACATTGAGAACAGTATATCCAGAAGGTCTCAATGAAAAATATACCCTGTCTGCATTTTTATAAATGTTGAGTATTTGTTTTTCAGTGATGGCAATGAGATGAACTATGTGATGCCCACCCTGGGGGATAGGCATACATGTCTATATTTCTCCTGCCACTGTGTATATTCTTTTGGGGTGAGTATTGGGTGCCCACCCAGAGGGATAGGCTACCCTTTCATTAACCCATAGCAACTAGGGTAGATAGAATTTTTATGAGACAGTCTTGAATTTTTTTGATTATCTGCATTTTATTAGAGGGATGTCCTCACTGGATGTTTTGTATTCAATAAGGTTGTATTTATGGAGTTTATTTGTGGTATGCCCCAATATTTTTATCACTACTCCCCTATTTTCATGAGGGTCCGATTTCATTATGACCTATAGGGGGCATGGTTATTTAGTTCTGTATTTTGCCTTATGAATAATTCAATGTGCTAGTCTTGTGATACACATGTGATGCTTTATAATTAGATAAGCTATGTATTTATTTATGTCTAATGTCCTTGGATTCAATACTTCTCTCTTGTGATTTGGATAGACTTCTATTTCTTTAGCCTGACAAGCCTGATTTCATAAATCTCAAAGTGATTGGTAGCTATGGTTTAATTCTGCCGATTGTTGTTTCAGCTGTTAAGTTCAATAGGTATATTAAGCATGGTTTAAATAACATAATTGTTAGCTTTGTATACTGTATAACTGTTTGAATTGTTAAACCCCCAAGAATGTAGCGTTAAACAGTGGATACATTGTTTTTACGATTAGATTAGTGTGTTACATCACATTTGTTGTTATAGGTTGCTATAGTGACGGCCCCTGGCCGCGTCATTGAGGGTGACGCCGTGCGGCTGCAGACGTACGTCGGGCAGCCCGCGGCAGTCCCGGTCCGGGCGTCCATGGAGTCAGACGTGTCACAAGTGTGGTGAGTTATTATTTGTGTTATGGTATAAATGTGGGTTTATTTGTACACGTATTATGTCCTGATGAAAGCCTGAGGTTATTGGGCTGAAACGTTGACACTTTGGATGTTTGATTGAAGGTAATAAAAGTGAATTCTTTATAAGCCCCTGGAGTGCTATCTTTGGAACTTTTTTGTATTTTGGCTGACAAGCACCGGGCATTAAACCATTTAAGAAGGTGGAGTGCAAGATTTTTTCTATTTTTTTATATATATATATATATATATATATATATATAAATATATATAGTCATTTATTGTTTTCTACTTGTTTTGTATCAGTACTCTACACTGATCAGCCACAACATTAAAACCACTGACAAGTGAGTAACATAATATAATATATAAAATGATAATATCATTCTAATGACACCTGATAATTGGTGGGGCATATTAGGCAGAAAATACCTACCACCTACGTAGGTATTGTTGCAGACCATTTTCACCCCTTCATAACAATGGTGTTCACTGATGGCAGTGGCCTCTTTCAGCAGGATAATGCATCATGCCACACTTCAAAAATTGTTCTGGAATAGTTTGAGGAACATGACAAAGAATTCAAGATATTGCCTTGGCCTCCGAATTCCCCAGATCTCCATCTGATTGAGCATTTGTGGGATGTTCTGGAACAACAAATCCAATCCATGGAGGCCACACCTCACAAATTGCTTAAAGGATCTGCTTTGTGCCAGATACCACAGGACATGTTCAGAGGTTTTGTGTAGTCCATATCTGTAGCATCTGAGCTGTTTTGGCAACACAAGGGGGGCCTACATATTATTAGGCAGGTTGTTTTATTGTTGTGATTGATCCTTATGTTTATTTGTATGTATTACAGGAATAACAGAGTTTAGGGTGCTGCCTTTCTGTCTCATTCTGATGTATCCCCCCTAAGTAATGTTTGAGATTGCATTCCCCTCACCAAACCAATATCACCGTTATATGAACTTGCACTAACAAAATTTTTACTAAACTCCATGCTCATCAAATTAAACAAATCATGTTAAACAGT